GTACCAACTACTGTCTACCCTGCAAATTCAATTTATCTAACAGACCAATCACACGTACATGTACATAACGGCATGTACATGTACTTCTACCTATTGCAAATTGATACCATTAGAGCTACCAATTTGTTGGCTGAACATTCCATTGGAATGTGCAGTCATAAATTTTGGAAAAGACCCAATGCCTCCACTGCAATGCAACAGGAGTCTAGGTATTTACGTACACTGTCACATGTCGCTGATGGCATGTGGGCCTCCACGTGCATGTCGGCATGCACGTCCGGGTGCAGCAACGGAGGCATGTGCGGTACATACATGTACGTCAGTCAAGGTGTGAGCAGAGATGTTGTGACACTTATGCACGCACGTACGTGTACGCAATGAGTACCTCTTCTGCCATAAGTTCAAAGTCTGGCCCGAGGCGATCCCTGGTCGAAATTAGTCCAACTAATATTAATAGCTTCGTCTTCCCTGGTGTGGGGAAACTTGCGGCAGGGACTTGAACATGGATTAGCCAGATCTCTCGGGATTCTAATGCACACGTAGCCACAGCTTACGCAAGTGTGGCAGAGCATGATGAAATTCCTAGGTTTAACGCTTGGGGCCGCACACTGGAATGGTACAAGGATTAAGGCAGTTCAATTTCAATTAAGATCAGTCGATAACAAATTTACAGAGTTCAGTTTTTACTCAATGGTGAAAAAACAAACAAAAATGGAAAGGTCTTACCCCTTTAATATGTAAAAAGTACACCACAAAGGTTTCTGTGTAAAACTTCAAATCTTCTTTTATTGAGATGTTCAGAAAAAGATCTATGAAAGCAAGTTGTTTATAAACAAGAAAAAAGATTACTTGAAGCTTGGTAACAACAAACAACTTTATCAAATTTCAACCCCTACTTCCAGACCGCCACGAGAAGTGTGTCAAAAATGGTACAGTGACGGGCAAAAGGCGGTGAAAGATAAAGTCGCAATGCAAATGAAAGTGCCGCTAATGCACAGCCCCAGATAACACTGGGGTGCAGTCAATATGGTGCATTGATCGACCTCCATCTGCGGGGGGCCGTGGAATCAGAAAAACCATCTTGCTTCAATGGATGGTCGGTGTGTCCCTGACCAATGCTACAAATTCGGAGCAGCAGTTCTGCTGATCGTGGACTTGCAGGCCAACTTGGGAAATGCCTTCACATAACACTATGCTCCAAGACGTCTCCTTGCATGTACATTTATAACCTCTCCATTTTTCCAAATTTTGAAAGGCTGATGCAATACCGTTTTACTAATATCTTCCAAAGTGCACCTCGGTGTCCTGTTTGATGTCATTCTGGGCAAAAACATCAAAGCTGCAATGCACGGCTATTTACAACATGGGAAGATGCTAGAATGTTGGACACGTTGCTGTCACAATTTTTTTTTTAAAGATGAACAAAGAAATTGACGGGAGCGGGATTTGAACCAGTGACCTCTGGAACACTGTACCGGTACTAGTGCTCTACCAACTGAGCTATCCAACCCTACATTGGTGGCTCTTCCCATTTGTCAATATCTCTGTTTGGGTTTCTTTCCTTGGTGATGAACTGTTGTGTGTACATGTACATGGTGTGTACATAAAAAGACGGTACAAACCCATAAGCAGCCCTTTCTCACTAAAACATTAATAGACATGCTTTCAAAGAACAGTTTTTTTGGTTCTTGTTTTGAACAAAAAGCCCCTTCTCGACAACTAAATGATCCATGATGAATGTCAAATAGTTACCATGACATCAAAAGGGAGGAGGAAAAAAAGTTACACCAAATGTATACAAGCATCTAAGAAAAATTCATCCCACAGCCCCAATTCTGTACTGTGTTTAATGCAAATAATGTGCAGAAAATTTTAAATGCCTGTGGTACTGTTTTAGTGAAGGACCTGACTGACTGACAGACCGACCACAAAAAACCGCAAATCAATACAACACTTGATAAATATAAAACAGTACGTACAATGTACATGTATGCGGTAAACTCCATTCCTTTCCCACATAATTGCTCATCTAGGTACCGTAGATGGTTTATGAAGTCTTTTAAATATTGATTACGCAGTAATGAGGTTCTTTATAAATGTCAGAAGAGTTTTTATGATCAGAGGATCTGGTAATCGGTCCATTAATAACCGTGTATGTTCACTGCTGACGCACGCTGCACGCTGACAGACTACTGTATGAACCTTTCAGGAATTGCATATGTTCATGCAACCGTGTGAAAAGGGACTTTTCATAAGTCGGGTCACGAGTCACTTTATCGAGCACGGATAAAGTTGCACACTGGAGGAAAGGAGGAAATATGTGGTAAGCTGCTGGTCTGAACCCAAGAGGGACCGCTTACCGGCACCCCGTAGCTCTATGATGAAACAATTTTCTTTCAATTACCGGTACATGTACAATGTAGGCAAAATCAAAACTCAGGTATAAAGAAAGTGTCAGAACAGCCAATGAAAGCAGACTTCAATAATGGATCTGAAAGCTGTTCGTTAAAAAAAATGCAGTCATGAATACTGACTACAAATAAGGGCAATGCCATTATTAGAAAGGGCAGTGGTTACTCGGAAAGGAACCGAGTATAAATGTACATGTACATGCACATACAGTACCGGTACATGTGCATGTACTGAAGTTAGAAAGGCACTGATGTTATTAGAAAAGGTCAACCACTCAAAATGCTACCGGTAGATTAAAAAGGGCTTACTGTGCTTACATGTACTAATACCCGCAGACAAGAAAAGAACATGTACATGTACATGTATGAGGCTACAGTACAGTACATGTACAGGTATATGTACACGTACAGTGTACATCTCATGCAAACATACCGGTGCACACTGTACACACACAGGTCCATAGAAGAGGCAAAGAGAGGAGCGGAAAAGGCAATGGGACAGGTAGAAATGGAAACAAGTTCAAATGTATACGTCTAATTACAAAAACTGAAGCAAGAGGGTGACTTAGAGAGGCTCTGTGTACCAGAGGTTCTGTGTACCAGAGGTTCTGTGTACCAGAGGTTCTGTGTACCAGAGGCTCTGTGTAGCAGAGGTTCTGTGTACCAGAGGCTCTGTGTAGCAGAGGTTCTGTGTACCAGAGGCTCTGTGTACCAGAGGCTACTAGAGGATAATCCATGCCTACTACAGTATGCGGGAATTACAAGTACCCGGTATGTACATGTACATTGTACAATACGGTAGGGCCCTACACGAAGGGCAGGCAAAGATAATAGGGTAATTCCAATTATAAGTCCAGAACACACTCCAATTTCCAAGAGTGATGAATTAATGCAAATTACATGTACATGTACTAGTACCTGCCAAACAAAGAGGAATCGTTTAAATCAATTCCAGCGATGTTTCCCTATCAAATAACAAAGGTCAGATGTACACGCACTGGTAACACGGACATGAAAATGTCACACTTTTGGAACCCTAATTTCTGGAATTACCCAATACAGAACTTTTTGGTGGTTATGACTTTCTGGTGGTAAGGCAAGAAACAAGGCTGCGCTGAACCAATGCCCGTGGCGTGGATGGGCCCACGCATACCGGTAGGAAGTTACTAATGACTTTGAGCTTTGACTCAAGGCTGCTCTGTGGATGAATACATCCTTGCCGACTAAACGTGGTCTCCAAGGTTGCGCATGTACATGTACACAATGTGAACACTGAAGAAAAAAATAAACACCCACTGGTTTAACTGTAAGCTAGTGGTATTTCCATTTGTGAAGAAATACTGAGTTCCTCCCGGTAATTACAGATATTGGTATATCCATTTATTGGAATTTGTCCCCCCAAAAAAACCTTTTTGGCTGACTATACGCGGATGTAAACCACACGGCTAGTGGCTGATGTTAGTTTCACGAACAAGATGAAAATGTCATCCTTGGATTTTGGCATTTTTAGCACAATTTCAATAAAAAAACAAACTTTGCTTCCTGAGTCGTTTAATTTACAAAGATGCAGATCTGTAGGGGTTTGTGCTGTCTATAGTCACGGTCGCCAAATGGCAAATATTTACAAACTCTGGCTAAAATCCCCAGCAACTGACAAGAAACAAGTTGCATTTAGCACTGGCTAAAAACAAGAAAAAAAACAACAACAAACAAATGTGTGTTCAGTTGAAATTTTTGCTGAATTAAAAATTTAACAGCTGGAACCTTGTTCGGTATGTGTACGTATTTATTCCACGTAAGAGCGAGTACCAGAAACTTCAGTCTTTCCAACACCCTCACTGAGTATCCTTCCAAGCTAAAACTGTGAGTGCCAATTAGTACCAGAGATGAACAATCTTCACCATGTCAAGAAGACCTCCTGCAAACGAGACAGCAACCCCAGACATACATGTATTTTCCAGCCTCGTAGTGATTGCAATGAACTCTCATCCCGCGACACTCTTCAGCGGGATCTTGGCTGAATCCTGCACACGCTGGCAGACCAGTCACACATAGAGTCCCCCCCTCCCTGTTCTTCTTGATCAAAATTCTGTCATCGCCGGCCGGGAATTCGGCCCAGAGTATCCTCAGACCTCTCCAAACGTCATCTGTAGAGAATGGCACCCTAAAAATAGTATCCAAACTGATCCTTCACGCCCTCAAGTGCTTTGAATGGGGAATCTTCTTACGTTCTCCGTTTTTTTTCTTTTTCTTTCCTAAGCAAAGTACGTGTAGTAAATCGTGTCTCATTTGTTGAGGACTGCATTGCACACACGCCCATCCAAATACACAGGTTTCTATGCGTAGCTAGCACTTTTTTGGCAACTGTGCTGTTAATACAGATAACGTGCACAGTAGAAATTACCAGTGAAAATATAACATATGTGACAAAATATGTTAATAGAGCCGGTGAGAAAGTTGTATAGTACAGCTATTGATATACAGTACGGTAAATATTTTTAAATGGAGACAACATGTGAACAAAATCAACAAGACTACTGAAAGGAATTGCCCAGCACTGTTTGCAATTCAGTCCTGTAAAAAACCCACCTGTCTGTCATGATGCATAAGACTGGCTCCGCAAGATTACCAACTGCAATGATGAAATCTGTTCGAGTCAGTGATGCCAACTAGAACTCCGCCATACTTCCATGAACGACTGCTGGTTTTTAAGAGGTGAACGCAGCGGAACAACCCAGGTCCACTTTCTGACTTGATAAAGTGAAGAACAAGTCAACGGGTCCGTTGGGCTTGCATGCAGCATTTAAAGTGCTTTAAAAGAGTCAAGCTTGGTTCCACATCAAAACATCCTGCATGCCTTTGTTTGATATGAACGGCTCGCCTGTTTCCACCACTGATGACCTGTAGACACTTCTTACGAGTAAACAAAAAATATGTTGGTACATGTAACGTCTGATGTACTTTTGAAAGGTGGTACTTGACTCTTTCCAAAACTCAGGATCGAGAGTAATAACCACAGAAAATGGGAAACTCAAGTCACTTAAGTGGAACAGACAGTTTCAAGGGCATCATTCGGTATTGGCTCCATCCATGTACCCACTCAACAACAGACGGAAATAACTGCTGGCATATCCAGTGAAGCGTTCAATGTCACAGTGCTTGGAAAAGCCACTCAAGGCAGAGCATATATGCCGATGTATGTAAATATCCCCACACGAAACGGTAAAACAACTGCTTGCATATTTTTCATCTGCGCAAGTTGAGAAGTGCATGTATTTCACTGAGCTGATGGAGGTAGCCCAGATGCGAGAAAGAACTTTGACACCGGATTGTCACATTTTAGTAGCCGAATTCTTGCCAGGGGCCGAGCAGAATGGAATGTGACTAGGCAACCAAGACCAATCACTCAAAAGATGTGCAGGTGTAACAGAAGGGTGGGCAACATGCTCCTTGGACAATACAGTAGACTATGGAACAGTCCATTCCATAGAGTGTACATGTACATGTAACTTATCCTTAGTTTTCACAATGCTGAAATGTTCCATGCCACACTACTCACGGCAGGTTTCAAATCCAGCATTTCCAACTTGTTTTACGCATCGTGTGGGCTGGTAGTTCATGATAACCGAGCGATGATGGAGTGAAGTATCCTATGACTGCTGGGTGACTGATCACTTGCAGGGTGGTGTACATGTATGCTGTAAGGTCCAAGCAGGTCCTCAAGAAATGATGTGCACTGTAAGTCTCCAGATGATGGAGTGCGGTTCACTTTACTTCAGAAATGATTTACATACTGTACATTAGCTCCAAATGCAAAGCCATCTGGAAAAGTACATAAGGCCCCAAAAAATGCTTCCTTGAATACATGTACACACAACGTACATGTACACTTGCCACAGTGAAACTGCTATGCCCAGACACAACACACATGATGCCGTGCTATCGGACTCGTGACTGGTATATTCTGGTCAAACAAATCAGGACTACTGCAGTTCAAGTGAACCAATAGCTAATTCTCATCTACGCCCACACGTGGGCGTGACCGCTCAACCCAGCTATTTATATCTTGCTGTTTTCCTACCCTTTTCGATGGAAAATTGGAAAAATCTGCCCTGCTGGCTGCACTGTTTCTGCATGCACACACACTGGCGGCCAAACCCCCTCAGAAAAGGGTCGAGTATTGTACCTTGTGCAACAGTGCATGCCACTGACGTAGACACACTCCCCTGCTTCTTTGGTCCTGTCCAAATCCACACGGATCCTTGCACAATAGCGATCACCGAATTAATCTATTGTGCTCCACTCAACTTTCCACTCACTCTGGAGGGGGGGGGACTGATAATAACTGTCTCCGCAGTCCTGACTATAGATTGGTCCTCTGGGGTCAAACAGGGGTGCATGGTGGCTCCGCGGATAATCCAACTATCTTAAGCTGTAGCGTTGTAAACTGATCCACGTAACAATTATCGCTGGATCCAGTGCCAGAAGTCAGGAGTACAGTGACTTTTTAGTTGCTGAATTGAAGGCAATACAAAGCTCACTGGGCGTAATTTACATACATGAACTTCCAGTCAAAAACACCAATCGAGGACCGACTTGTGGACATGATCAACCACATTGGGGGTGCATGTAGGGAGGCTTTCCATACGGAGCACCACCACCCAAAGTTTCAGAAATGTATTTCAAAAAAAGGACTCCTTGGATTCAAGAGCGTTCCATGTGCTTGATCAAGCAGTAGTTTCAATACTACTGGTCGGATGTAACGGTACAGTGTATGAAGTGGGCCACTCAAAGTGACAAATATATATTTAAAAAAAAGGAACAGCCTAAAACAGAGAGCTTATCTCCAACAGGAAGGAATTCAAGTGAACGTTTGATCTTCCTGGATTTCAGAAACAAAGATAACTGAACCCAGCAGGTTATTACCTTTTACAGCACGACGTACATGTACATAGTGTACAGGTGCATATACCGGTGACTCCAGGCCGGTGAAAAATTGCCCATCAGACACACTCAATGTGATCCAACGTTTTAAAAAAATGACCGATGCACCACAAAGATTACACTGGCATGGTGGGTGCTGACCTTCTCTAGGATCCACGGTCAACACAGTCCACAAATCCAAAGAAACATGGGAGTACAGTACTTTCCCATCTGTACGGCAGTTTATGCAGTAATAGAGGAGTTTTCTCTTGTATGAATCACACAGGGCATTTCACAGGAGCAATGGAGGTACTGTGCATCGCCAACAGTGCGCCTAAATTTCAGTCCGCATTTTACCAGATCTATGGGGTATGTGAGGTAACTAATGAGTTATCCCAGGATATCGGGTCAAGAGGAGTTGGTGGTCATCCTCCAGGAGTTCAACATGACAGCTGGAACGATCTCAATGGCCACCGTAGAAAAGGTACCGTATGCACAAACTCCTTCCAACATACCGGTATCTGGCGACCAACTTCCTCATGAGGTAAAGCTTGCAAACAGGCAAATATACGATGCTTTCTACAAAGATTCCTCTATACGCAGAGAGGAAATCTTCCTCTTTTCAGAATTGCTAACCCTTTGCAGCAGGTACATGTACATGTTCCATTTAATGTGCAGTGCACAGCAACATGCAAATACGTGTACCTGGTAATTTCCCCACCATACATAACGGACAAGCACGCAAGGCAGTACAGCAATGTACCGTATATACAGCTGATGCCGGGTATCACCAGCCCGTCACACATGCATGCACTACTCCGTGGAGCGTACCTAGTAAACATACCAGATGATGAACGGGTAGCTGCATCAATGGTAGCCACTCATACCTGGTTGCTGGTCTCTCCCAAATTAGCAGCTTAATAGGAACTTCAACTAGACAGTGCACCCAGGACTATCGTATCAGTTTTCAGCTGTCAAATTCTGATCAGCAAAACCTTCCGCTAAATGCAGCCCCTTTTAACAGTACTTTTTGGTACAGTACTGTGTACCTTTTTTTTCCCTTGACGGTTGGTCGAGTTTGTGGCCAAATTTAGTCAATATTTGCCATTCAGCAACAGCAGCAACGAACAGCTGTCAAGTACCCGTAAACCACACACTGCTACCAGTTTTATACAACTTCTGCTCTCAAATTACTGCCAGGCATACTCTTTCAAGACTGACACAAAAAAGCTGAGAACGGCAAGCAAAAAGCTGAAACTGAGCAAAGTCCCTGTCGTTTTGCACAGAGCAGGTGGGCAAAAAAGTTGAAATTCAGAGTAAAAATCTAAACAACAAGAGCTACATGTAAAATCAGCTGAAAAACGGAATTCTCACACCCTCGTTAGAAATCATTTTTCAAGGTCTTTTTGCTGTAAACATGGTAAAGGGTGCAGGTACATACGTGTAGGTAAGAGAGTACATTGTCTTGGTTACCGGTACTCCTGATTACAATTTCATGTATTTTTTTTCTTTGATGAGATTCAGCTTCGACGACTCCTTGCTGTGCCAGCATCCTTAAGTTGTGCACCATAAGCCATCACTTTTTATGTTTTTAACGGATCAGTTGATATCATGTACATGTACAACGTTTTTGGTATACATACATGTATATTTCATAGACTATTAAGCATTACACATGTTAATTACATTGTAAATAATTATTTGTCCATACAGTCATGCAATATCACATCTACTCGTACTTGAACTTCAGTCATTAGAATTTAACGTTACGTTACGAACAATTGTACATGGCTTGCAAGGTCAGCACGGGTACTGTACATGTACATAACATACAACAGGCTACACATGCATGCATACTTGTACACAATGTACTTGTACCAGTACACATGTACATATACGTTTGTTTCAACAGAACTGCAATCTCAGCAGCCTGAAATTATAGCAGGGCGGCACATAATGCGAGCGAGGAGCGCAAAGCTATTACGGCGTGGCATGGGCCCCGGGAAATTTTGGATTCTAGATGCTCTGCGGTGCAATCTGAGGTATATGTGTTTCCTAGGCATTTTCTCTAGACTCTTGGAATCAAATTTGCTCGTGTTGAAATGAAGGCAAGATTGTTATTGGGGGGTGATCAAAAGTTGATTATTTTTTCCATGGGGCATTTTCTTTTTTTTACTGATCGGAACTCGCCATTACGCGGATGGTTCAGGATTACATGTACCGGTACGTACATGTATCTTGGCGCAGTGAAAGTGGATGATATACAGTCACTTCTCTCATTCTGGATCTCAAAAATAACTCCATGGTCAGATGCCAGCGACAAAATCCTATAATTCCGGTGAAATATGGTCAGTCGTCCACCTCGTGTATTGGAAAAACTACAAAGTCACTTTAAAGATCTGAGCTTTTAATCTGGACTTACGGGATCGTCAGAAGTGACAACACTTCCAGTTCTGAGTCGGTTTAACCGGTTCCGAATAGAGACAATTTTTTTCTCGAATAAAAAGTCAGCTAGAGCCATTGTAGCAAAATGATTTCTAATTAAGAATTTCTTGATTTCGAGAAAATAATTCATAAATAACAATTTCAGTGAATTAACAAGTGAAACTTGTGTAAGTTTTGACTCAAGTTTTTCAGCCATACTGCAAGCAATCAGCGACTATCCCCCGCACTGCACTTGACAAACCCATTATGTCACGTACATATACATTTCTGTTACGCCCATGTACAGTAGTTGAGTTTGCAATGCATGTACTGTATGTGCACTTCCAGTGTAATCCACAACTAGGCAGTTTTTAGCCAATTTACCAAAACCGGAAACTCCACAAGTCCTTTTGATTAAACATTCATTAGACGCAAACGTTTATGGGACTGTTGAGCATGTTAAGTATAATTAAGTATTGGAATCACACGTACAGAATGACTTATCACATGGTTTTTGGGGGCTTTCGTGATTTTTGACAAACCATTCAAAAATGTCGTAGTTTGAGACGGAAATCTAGTTGGTAAAAAATTTCTTTTCCAGATGTTTTATGAATCAAAAATTTTGTACAAGAAGCTTATATTTCACCTGAACTTGTTTGAGAATGTAAAACACATGTGGTTTTAGAAGCAGAAATTCTAGAAATTTTATTTCAAGCGATCCAGATCTAGGAAAAATCTGGCAGTACATGTAGGAAATTGGCTGCATTTTCCGAGAAAAAAACAACGCATTCGAGGTATTGGTTCTTGATGCAACAAAATGAAAAATGCTACGACCGGGAGATTGGAACCAGTCCAAGTTTGTGCTTTTGTAATTATAGGCCTACTGCATCTGGCACTGATCACAAATTGTGCGTAGTACTTTTCCGTTGTGCTGAATAATGATGGCAAACTCATCTTGTTTGTTCCATAGAGTGCGGTAAACTTCTTTGCATTTAGATATTGGTAAAGTGTGCAGATGGTGGAGAATAGGGAAAATCCAACGGAAAAAAATAGCAGGGTGGTGAGAATTTGGCGGGGTGGCGGAACTTTAGCAGGGCAGTCTAAACTTAAACCCTTCGTAGAGAACACTGAATTTACTTGGTAAGGGTTTTGAAAGTTATCACTCAAACATAGTTTTTCCTCGACTAAGGGCCATGAGTTTGAAGAAAAAGAACGAAATTAACTGAAATACATGTAGCAGTATGTACATGTATTCACACAAGTCCGTAACAGGACAAGAAAAAATTGTAATCTAATTTTGAAAACTACGTGTATGTACCTCCGTCTAGGAAACGCTTTTTTTCAGTTCAGGACATTGTTCCTTCTCATAGTTTAACTGTCAACCGATATGAATCATTACTCCAACGTGTTGTGATTTGTCTGACAAATTACACCCACAAGACTGACAATTACTGCAGCTAACCATGACAGGCCGAGCTGAGCTGAGCTTTGCTCGCCCTGTGGGAAGTGCCTCGTCACTTCTGTTTTCCCGGTCCCTGACGTAAAACGCAACCTTGCCCTCGTGGGCTGGTGACTGACTGTCGTGAATGGAACTCTACCCATCGAACAGCCTGACAAACACGCCAAATTTGAGCAAAATACCTGCAGTTTCACTGCACTAGCAGCATTTCTCTTTCAGGTCCTGATATAATCCACTTTCAAGGTATGTTTTCCAAAATGCTGCGGT